GTACCAAGTAAAAAAAAAAGGAAAGAAAAGAAAGACAAAGAGAAAGGAAAAAAAAAAAAAAAAAGAAAAAGAAAAAAAAGAAGAAGAAACTCGGAAGCTGCTGGTGGGAACAGTGTAAGAATAAACCCTCGCCACGAGAGGGCACTGGACCACGGAGAAACTCGGAGCGTTTTGGAAACCGGATTTCTGCTTCAGAGCAATCCTGTGAAGCGTGTCCCCTCCCTTCTTGGCGCTGGGAAGGAACCCAGGGCCTCATACAGCAGGCCAGGGCTGTCCACGGAGCCACCCCCAGCTCGGAGCAGGTCATCTTATCCTGATGCTTTGACAGAGGCAGCCCTCCCGGGGCACCCCCTGGAGTTCCGAGCTCCAGCTCCAGCCCTTTTTGTCTTTTAATTTGGAGACGTGGTCTCACTACCCAGGTTGACCTCAAACTTGGGATCATCTTGCCCCCATGTAGCTGAGATGTCAGTTGTGTGTCACAGGGCTCGGCCTCACAGTCCTTTTACACTCAGACAATTAGAAAGGATTCGGGTGTGCCGGTACTCTCCTTTTGTCCCGATGGGCCCGGCGCTTCCTGCTTCACAATGTGACATGGTGGCCGCTCTCTGGAAATTGTCATCCACACACTGTCCATCAGTGGCGTGAGTCCTGAGCTTGCCTCGCCGCACCTGAGTCATATATAACACAGCTCGCTCTTCAGAGGGCCTGGCCTCGCGTCTCAGCAAACGGTGCTGTCTCTGCCTTGAAAGCACATCCCACTTCAGCCAAGTGGCCCTCTGTCTGGCCCTCTGTCTGGCCACTAACATCTGGAGCTCCCCGCTGCCCTGGGTCCCACCCAACATGTTATGGTTTGTGTCTAGATACTCCCTCAAAGCCTCATGCACTTTTTTTTTTTTTTTTTTTTTTTGTCTTTTTGAGACAAGGTTTCACTACGCACTTCAGGCTGGCCTTGAGCTCTCTTTGTAGCCCAGGCTCATCTCGAACTCACAATGATCCTTCTACCTCAGCCTTCTGAATGCTGGGATTACAGGCGTGCGCCACCACGCCCAGCTCAAAATTATTTATTTATTTGTCTTTTTGAGACAGGGTCTCACTATGCAGTTCAGGCTGGGCTTGAGCTTTCTTTGTAGCCCACGCTGGCCTCAAACTCCCACTATCCTCCTGCCTCAGCCTCCCGAGTGCTGGGATTACAGGAGTGCGCCACCACGCCTGGCTTTCATGTACTTTTAGATGGGGCTTTTTTGGAGGTAGCTGAATCTAGAGTGCATGATTGAGTCATGGTTCAATGCTGGGATGAAGAGTGAGTGAGCGCTGGATCAATTTGCTGATTGGATTGGCACAGCCCTGATCCCAGCAATCAGTTTTTTTTTTTTTTTTTTCCCCAGTACCAGGAATCGAACTCATGACCTTGCGCTTGCCAGGCAGGTGCTGTGCCGCTGAGCTAAATCACCACCCCCCTGCCCCCGGCCCCCCACCCCCGTACCGGGAATCGAACTCACAACCTTGTGCTTGCCAGGCAGGCGCTGGATCCCAGCAATCTGGATAAGATAAAAGGGACAGAAAGGCTTGTTTCTCTCTCACTATCTTCCCTTGCTTGCTTTTGCTGTCTTCCGCTGCCATGAACTGTTGCACCCCTGCCATGTGCCAACCTACCAAGGAGCCAGCCCGTTATGGACTGAAACCTGTGTGAACTGTCAGCCAAATAAACCTTTCCCTCTTTAAAACAAAACTATAGTACATTTGTTAAAACTTGATGGTTTTTTGGTACCAGGAATCAAACTCAGGTCCTTTCACTTGCCAGGCAGGTGCTATGCTGCTGAGCTATCTCCCCGGCCCCCAAATTCGATGTTAATACCGCATTAAATTTGAATTTTTTTTTTCAGAGTTCAGTAGTATTTGTATTAATGGCTTTTCTTTTTTAGAGCCAGTCCCAGATACTAGATTGCATTTAGTAGGTTTTTTTTATGAACATATACCTATAAAGTATAAAATGTAGGTTTAATTTTTAAAAATTTTTTCAATCTTAGGTTTGATTTTAAAATGTGGTTTGTTTTTCAGTTTGCTATTTTGGGGATACTAGCACCACTCAAGTCTTGCCATATAAATCTTCCCAAAAGCTTGTTAGAGTTATGAGATTTTAGCCCTCATTTTTAGTTGACTCCTCCCTTTTGATTTGAAAGACAAAGTCAATCATGGACATATTCAAATTACATGGTAGAGGTAGGGAGAAGGAATTGGAGGGGCATTTAGGACAAAAGCATAGAAGGCTGGGCGTGGTGAGGCACGCCTGTAATCTCTGCACTCGGGATGCTGAGGCAGGAGGATCAGGTTGCGAGTTTGAGATCAGATCAAACACTCTCAACTTCCGCGAGGCTGCCGAGAATCTCGGTGCGCGTGCGCCGCCCCGCCCCCTGAGACGTCACCTCGCCGCCCCGCCCCCTTCTGGAACGCGGAGCCGCTGAGCGGGCCGGCGGCCATTTTGTGAAGCGGCGAAAGAGGTGGTCGCTTCGCTGGGCTCCAGGAAGCCGTTCGGGCTGGGGCTGTCGGCCGCGGGGCAGAGGCACTCGCGCGGGGGGTAACGCGGGTCTGGGTTCTGGTGACGCGCAAGCTCTCCCCGGTAAGACTCCCGCAGCCCCTGAACGGGCGGGGCTGTGCGGGGCTCGAGCCGCCCATAGGTGGCCCGGGGCGGGGCCTTTGGAGGCCTCAGAGCCCGCCGCAGGAGCGCCCCACACAAAGGGTCGGGGCAGAGCTGTGAGGGTCCTGGGGCGCCCCCTGGGCCTCTGCGGCCCGAGAGGGTGCCGGAGGATGAGCCTGCGTACCGAGGGGACGAGGCCTCGCGAGGACGCTCGAGTGGTCTGAGAGGGGCGGCCCCTGAATGGACAGGGACTGCCGTGGAAACACCCCGTCCCGGAGGGGGCCGGAGCCGACTAGAGCGGGACACTCCCTCCGCCCGAAGTGGAAAGGAGGCCCCTGCGGCCTTCTGGCGAGCGGGGGCCGCAGTGAGGACACACCGCGGGGACGCCCCAGCCGGCGCCCTCCCGGGAGCGCAGGAAGTCGGGCTCGCGGCGGCCGCCCTCGCGGCCTGGAGGTGGAGGGCTTGTGGGGACGCTTCCTGGGCCCTGCGCTGGGGAGGGGTTTTCCCCGGGATCAGGCAGCGGGAGAATCCGGTGCCTTTAGACTGCACCTTTGCTGCTCCCTTCAGAGAGGAGCCTCCGGGACGGGAGGCGGAGTCGTGTTGCAGCGTGGCGGAGTGCAGGTTTGGATGGGTAGCTGCGTTTCTCAGGCTTGGTGGCGCCGGTTGGCGGCCACGTGAAATGGATGGGAGGACCTTTGAGGATCTACAGGTTAGCGATGGGGACGAACTTGAGTGCAGCGGACCCAGCTGGTGCGCTGTATGGACTGTGTGTGCCTCCAGTGAGTGCCTTCCGGTGGAAAAGCCGAGGGCTCCGGCCCGGGCTACTCGGACTTTAGTGCTAAGCATTCATTCAGCTAGGTAGTGTATATGGAGAATTTTAGGCTGTTGTAGAGGTTTCTGGGCCCTAAAACCCTCGTTGGTTTCTGGATTCCCAGAGATGACCTACAGTAATTGGGGGCAGTTGGTAGGAACTATTTTGTATTATTTAAAATTAGGGTGATGCCAGTTAATCTGGTGATGCCAGTTAATCTGTTCAGAAAAAGGCGACAGAAGATTGTTGAAGGGAAAGGGTTTCGGTTAGAGTATTTCTGTGAGAGATGATTGCTTGCATAGTTTTGTTTTGCTTTTTTTCTTTTTTGTTTTGTCTTTTGAGACAGGGTCTCACTATGTAGTTCAGACTGGTCTTGAGCTCACTTTGTAGACCAGGTTGGTCTCAATTTGCAACATGATCCTCCCGCCTCAGCCTCCCGAGTGCTGGGATTACAGGCGTGCGCCACCACGCCCTGTTTGAATAGTTTGAAATGGTGTAAATTTTGCAAAATGTAGTTTTAGCAGCAAGAATTGTCTGGGACCTTGTTAACGTATTTGAAAGCATCTACAGTTGGAAAAACAAATCTCACAAGTCTAGACATCTAGAGAAATCTTATTTGTGTGGTTTGGAGTTACAGAAATTAATACAAGACTGGTTGTACATGTTTTTGAAATTTTGTTTTGATGAAATGGATGATTTTGTTTTTTACTTAGTGGAAAGTAATTCGTATCAGGCATTTTTCGAAGAATATGGTGGTTCATGTAAACGCACTACAATTTTTGAAGGATGTGAAATGTTCGTTTAAGATGTGTTTAGTATGTATCATTGGACAGCCTTCTTTTAACCAAAACGGAGTGACTTTTGTTAACTTCCTTATGCTCGATTAAATGTTGATTATTTTGTATATGGGGTGTAATACATAGTTTCAGATTTTCTTATGTTCAGGTATTTTAGGTGAAAATGTGCAACTTTAGAGACCATCATGATAGTTACTTTCATGTGCTGTTTACTACTACTACACGTCAGGCTTCCTTAACCGCCCCCCGCCCCTCGGTACCGGGAATCGAACTCACGACCTAGCGCTTGCCAGGCAGGCGCCGCTAAGCTAAATCCCCAGCCCTGTGAAATATCCGATTTCTTAGAATTTGGGGTTGTTGGTACAGTTTTTAGGTGTAAAAATTGATTTTGTGGGCCATTGTGTACCAGATACTAGAATCCAGTGACAGTATTGATACTGCTTTTATTCCATTTACAAAGAGCCACACATCACTGTTTGGATGAGTGTTTTCTTTTGTAGGTGTTACTAGGAAGAATTGTCAGTAATTTGTTGCACAAAAGATGTTTTTAGATATCCTTCTCTAAAATCAGAGACTGTTGTCCAGTTTTGTGTCTTAATGTTTGGCCCACAGAGCTTAATAAATGCTCATGGAAATGAATATTGTTAAATGTTTTAGGTTAACTAATTAGAAAAATTATTTCATCTAAATTGCAGTTGTGTCCGATTTAACTGTCATCTATACTCCTTGGTTTGCAGAGGTTTAAATTTAAAGTCAGCTTGTCTTAAAACCATAGTGAGGGTGAATGTGGTTGGTTAAGTTAGAACTAATTTTTCTTTGAAGTATAAATGAAGTAAGATAATGATCATTTGTGTTACTGTTTGGGGAGATCAAAAATAATTGGAAGTCTTTGGCAGAAGAATGTCTTAGAAATGTCTTTTGACTTGCTGCTCTGAGTAAATATTGAATGGGAGGTTAATGAGAAAACTGAGCAATGTATTATATAAGGGATGCATCTGTAAGTGTCAGAAGAGTTTTTTCATTTAGAATGATCCTAGAATCTGAAATGTGTTCCATTTGGTGGTGGGAGACAAAATCAAATGGATGAAGCTATGATTGTTTCATACTGCCTACCGTAATGTGATTATACTCTGTTGTGGCATTGTGCCCATTGTAACTGATTCTGTGTTGCTCATCACGGAGGTGAACATTTGAGGGCCTTGCTGGTTTTTTGTTTCCTTTGGGTCTGAAGTGTCTAGTTCAGCTTTTCCGATTCTTGTTGAATAAAGACTGACTGGTGACTGAACAGAGTAATTCATTTTGGATGTTTATTACCACATGAAGAGTGGAAATGGTCAGGTTCTAGTTTGTGCCTTGACTTTTTTTTTTTTTTTTGGTGCTGGAATCGAACTCAGGACCTCAGGCTTGCCAGGCAGGTGCTGTGCCAGTGAGCTAAATCCCCTGTCCCGTGTTTTGACTTCTTGATGAAGAGGTTTGTTGTCAGACTTTTTACCCTAAAATCCCGAATGATAGGAATGGCTACTAAAGAAGAATGTCTAATCTGTCATAATATGCTAAGTTTTTAGCACGTATTTGTAATTTATGCACATATCTGATATTTGTCATTCTGAAACAAAGTCTGTATGAGGATATGAAGTGGAAAATATACTAAAGTAAGCTGATTCTTGTTTTAGGTCTTCTGAAGTATATCAGTAGATTAATAGCAAAACGAGCCCATTTTCTTCTTGCCTCCCAATGTACTTTTAGTTATTTTGTTGGGTAGAATTCAGTTTTGTTCTAAAGTTCACCAGACCTCAAAGGTGAGTGCAGTGGATTAATTTGGGAGCCTGCATGTGGTTGTTGACATCTATTTTAGCTTGTAGGAATGAGCAGGTTCCTAGAAAATATTGTTACATTTATTACATTATTGTTTACAAAATGAGGTGTTGAAACAGAAAGTAAGTATTTTCAGTTTTGTTTCCATTTACCCTTTTTGTCCTTCTGAAGGAAGAGATCTTAACACCAGTGGTTGTGAATTTCTGGCTTCTGGCTTCCACTTTTCTGCGTACTTGGTTTGGGTGATACTGGGCTTCCCTTTTGTAGAAATAAAAGCAGCACAAATTTATGTGTGGATTGACTTTTGTGCTGTTAGTTGAATACAAAACTAGACATTTGCCAGATGCAGCTGGGTTTTCAACCTTTTGTGGATAAGAATTTTCCTATTAGTTGTTGAAGTCGTTTCTGGCAACCTTGTAGAGATTTTTGAGTATATCTAATGAGTGCCCTTTGGGCTTACCTGGCCAATCCTGGTGTTCTTTTTCAGCTGCCTCCTTGGGTCTGGAAGAAAAGAAACTGAGAAAACTGTTTCCTTCTTTCCTGGCATATATGCCAAGTCCTTATTCCAGACCTTTTTAAATGAGAATTTCAGCTTCTGATGGGATTACATGTTTATCACAAGTACTTACCTTGAAAATTACCCTGGTTCTGTAGCTTCTAGATTTAGAAGATTTATAATCCTATAAATTTAGAAATAAATATTGCAGCAGGCATGGTGATGCACACCTGTAATCCCAGCATTTGGAACAGCTGAAGTAGGATTGCTGTGAGTTTGAGGTCATCCTAAACTACATAGTGAGATCCTGTCTCAAAATGAAAATATTTTAGTAGTTCATGCCCTTCTTCTCTGTTGTATTTGAAGGTTTTTTTTCTGTTTCATATTTCCTTTTGTGACCAGTTACATAAACTGCTGGATGTGACTTTTTATATGAATTTTTAGATCCTTCAGACTTAATTATGATAGATTTCTACATGTCAAAAATGAATACAATGCTTGGTTTTGGAAAGCGTGTTTGTAGCATTTGCGTAGCTTTCTTCCCCTGGTGCTTGGGGACGAGCTTGAAGCTGCCGGTGGTGTCCCTGGTCTTAGTATATGTGCTGCAGAAGTGAGCACTGCGTAGTGTTCTGTGGCAAAAGTTTCACTGTTGAGTAGTTGGCTAAAAGGTGTTTGGCTTCTTTAGACAAGTTTGGAATGTCACTTAAGAGTTTTGAAATTAGTTTTACTTTTTGGTGAATGTAAGCTCACTAGTTGCTCTCTTGATTTTGAAAAGTACTAATTAAAAATGAACATTCAGGTGAGTTGTCTGTTGCTAATATGAAACAGTGGGAATTATTTTCTCTATCTGAATGTAAAAAAGAAAAAAACCTTTTGAATGTAATTGTGTTATCATTTGGTCATATATATTGTTTGTGAATTGTTCCTAACTTCCAGTGAGAGTTGAGGGACCTGTTTTTGTTTTGGAAAATATTTTTAAGATGCCAGACAATATTTAAATGAATTTTTTTTAACTGTTGTGGTGGTAGAACTTTTCCTTAATATGTTGAACACCTGTGAAATTAGTTCTTATAGCCAGAATTTTTACTTCACTTACGTTTTGTGATGTTTGATGGTATTTTGGTGCAAAGGAAAATACATGGAAAAAGAAACTGCTGTCATTTCTATGAGAACCGTCGAAGATTTGATGTGTTCTGGAGGTGTTTTGGTGTGAACTTGTTCCTTTACGCTAAAAGTTTGGTGGGAACCTATGGAGATAGGTACAGAACTTTTCTGGATTAGTTTAATCAAGTGATAAAAGCAGTTACCAACTGTGAATCTAAAATTTATGACTTTTTGAATTTTCAGTTGATTCATTCTTGGGCTAATTTGTGACTCACTCTTGATGTATTTAAATATTATAAATATTTTGAGAGACTAACGTGTGAAAGCAATACTAGGTTAAAAGCATGTGTAGGATTTTGGTATATATGCTTTTTTTTTTTTAATGCATTCTAATGAAATATTCTGGTGGTTTCAGACTTGCCTTCATAATGTACAGTTCAGTGTGGCCTGTGCGTGTTGTTTTGTGTTTCCTGCATTGATTTTTGCCTCCGTTTATTCTCTATTGCAGTCTAAAAGTTGGTTTTAATTGGTTGCCCACAGGATTGACTTGGCCTCTACTTCTTGTTAAGAAAATACATCTCTTGTTTTATCAGGTAAGAGATTTTGAATAGAGGGTCTAATACAGAATAAAATGAGATGGCTTTTTAAGAAACATGAAAGTATGTGTAGTAATTACATTGTGTGTGTCTACAAGACTGTCTGGGTGGGGCGGGTGAATGGACACCTTGAATAGTTGCTTCCTTTGAAGGATTAGTTTTACATGGCTGCATTTCTCCTGCTACATTCCTTATTTTTAGGTAGTAAGAAGGCAGCTGTTCTTTTTCCTCAGTAGCATTATAGATGAATTACAAATACAGGTGTTTCAGCTGGGCGTGGTGGCACACACCTGTAACCCCAGCACTCACTCGGGAGGCTGAGGCAGGAAGATCATTGCGAGTTTGAGACCAGCCTGGGCTACAAAGTGAGCTCAAGGCCAGCCTGAACTGCATAGTGCGACCCTGTTGCAAAAAAAACAAATACAGGTGTTTGTTATCTGTATGGTTATTTATTTATTTATCTATTGTTGGTACTGGGAATTGGACTCAGGACCTTACTCTTGCCAGGCAGTGTATGGTTATGTATATTCCCTGAAAGTACAGTTATAAATCCTGGATCATATGTTTTAGAGTACAAATTTTAGACTAGATGGAACTTGAACAATTGAATATAACCTTCTTGTTTAAATAATTAAACTAGACTTGTGCTGGGGATATAGCTCAGTGGCACAAATGGCTGCCTGGCAAGCGCAAGATCCTACGTTTGATTCCCAGTGCCCCCTCAAGAAAAATTAAGCTAGATTCAAGATAGGTTGAAATGACCTGTTTCTCAAACAGGTACCTAGTTGCAAAATAACAGATGTCTCATTTTTGAGACTTAAAAAGCTTTTTTCTCTTCAGAAGGCTTGATGCATAAATCTTGTGGTCTGCTCTGATTTAATTTTCAGTCCTTTTCTAATTGGTAAGCTGAGGCAGATTTTCAGTGGCAAGGTTTCATGTATATCTTGTACAGACTTTCATTAAATCTCTTAGCAGAAAAATGGTTTAAAGATTTAACTGTATGTCATTTAGCCTTGTGTTTTAATTTCTGTGTTCTTGGGACCATATCCAATTCCCATTTTATTGTGTAAGTGCAAGCTAACATATCCCTCTCAGGTAGTTTTGGGTAGTTTGGTTGTTTCTTCCACTTAAAGTGATTAAATATATTTTGAAGTTGAACAGGAATGCAATCTCAGTTTTTCACATAGAAACATATTGTAGATGTAAGGAATGCAAATTTAGTGTAATTACTTTAGTAAAAAAGTAATTACTGTTGTTGTGTTTTAGGGTTAATTTTTCTTGCTGATTCTTGTAATCCACAAATGAAAAACTTTACTTTCCCCAAATTTCAAGTGTTGCATAATGGTCTCACAAAGAATATCTTATGTTGTCAAGCTTTTCTTTCTGGATTAAATTTGAGAGTAGTTTTACATTGTGGATCAGCATGTTAAAAAAACCATAAAAATCAAAAAGTATATTTCTCTCTCCATTGTTTTTTGTGTTTTTTTTTGAGACAAAGTTTCACTGTTTCTCAGGCTGGCCTTGAACTCATGATCCTCATTCTTAAGCCTCCCAAGTAGCTGGGATTACAGGTACATGCCACTGTGCCCAGCTTGTTTCTGTCTTTTAATTCATTTTTTTTTTTAACTACAATCATAATATTGATACAGTTAAAGATTTTATTTAAATTAGTATTCTTATAACACTTGAAGAGCTCCTTTTATGGAATTACATAATTCTCAGAGTGTATGGCAAGGAACCTTGCGTCTTGTAATGTTCTCATTTCAGAATTCATAAAACAGGCCTCAAATAATTAATAACTTCCCTGGTGTCTCAGAGCTAGTTTAATAGGTATATTTAAAAGTTGGTTTGCCCACACTGATTTCAAGTTGATATTTTTTTCCAGTCACTTGAATTTGATTTGTGTCAGTTCACAAGGGATTTACCCCTGTATTTGCTCTCAGAAACTGTTAGAATTTAAATACTGAAATTTGACTTAAATTTGGGAGAAAGTTTTCTTTTGTCTAAAAGTAGATCTTATTGGGCTGGGGATAATAAACAATCAAATAAATAAATAAATAAATAAAGGAAAGTATAATTTAAAAACTAAACATTGATTCACTGAATAAATACTGAGGAGATAGCTCAGTGGCACAGTGTCTGCCTGGCAAGCGCAAGGTCCTGAGTTCGATTCCTGGTACCCTCCCAAATAAATAAATTCAGTAAATACCTAACAAAAGTGAGGAAGAAAGAATATGAACCACCAATGTCAAAATGAGAAAAGTTGAGAAAAAACAAAGAAAGTAGATCTTACTAAGGTGATCAGTGAGCAACCAATGATCCTACAGGATTTTGGTTGAGTTAGAGAATAACAGTCAGTCTGTAAAGTTCACTCCCCAGTTTTTTGAAAACCAAACCAAAGAGCAACTCATTGTCATCCCACCCATGGGGAAAAATAAGAAGAAAAAAATTTTTTTTAGTAGAGAGTTTGGGAATGAGTCATTGCCTCAGTTTTAATTAAAACAGCCACAGTGAATGTACTGTAATCAAGTTCTGCTTTTTAAATGAATGAGTAAGCTGGGCCTGGTGTTGCACATTTGTAATGTCAGCTACTTGGGAGGTTGAGGCAGGATAGAGAGTTCAAGGCCAGCCTGGGCAACATAGTGAGGCCCTGTCTCAAAAAAAACCCCGAACTGATGAATATAGATAATTGAGATTTTAATTGTCCCATTTAATATTTTTTAGGATTCTTAGTATATATTAATCTTACTTATAATATGTGCAGTTTTTCTTAAAGCTGTAAAGCAGAGTGAAAAGTTTTCAGATGAAAACGGTATCAAATACCATACACATTTGAGGCTTGAATCTGTTTTAGTGTTAATTATTTGTAATTCATGGGCATTCAGTTTTCTGTTTCTTCTGGATTTTGAGAGTGGGCCCTATAAATAACACTAATAATTCTATTAAATTACCAAGTTTATAGGGAAGATGCTAAACCAGTTTTAAATATTAACTTTGGTGTATCCTTAGCATGATTTTTTTGGAGTAAGCTTTCTTTTTTTTTTTTGTCTTTTTGAGACAAGGTCTCGCTGTGCAGTTCAGGCTGGCCTTGAACTCACTTTGTAGCCCAGGTTGGTCTCGAACTCGGAACGATCCTCCTGCCTCAGCCTCCTGAGTGCTGGGATTACAGGTGTGCTCCACCACGCCCGGCAACATGATTTTTTTTGAGACAGGGCTTCACTCTGTTGCCCAGACTGGCCATAGATTGTTAAACTTTGTTTCTTGATTTGACTTACACATTTCTTTTAAATCTTACTGAATGATTAGTGGTCTGAGTATTGTATATGGTGATTTTACTGTTCTACAGTTGTTATTTTCTGAAACTTTGAGTTTTGGGACTAAACTTGTAATTGTTTCCAGAAGTAGTGTTTTGGAAGTTGAAATTCTCTAGCTTTTAGATTGTAGTTGGCACTGAACGTTGACTTTTTAGCATATCTAAATTAACAAAAGACATTGCTTATGATAGTTTGAGGGACTGCTTGAGAGTCTAATATGGTTAATGGTCATTCTTGCATCTAAAAATTTGGTGTGATAAACAGGAGTCTGACCTGGCCGTTGCCTTTTCTCATCTGCAGGTGTGTGTGGTTTCAGCGCAGCATGGCTGTGGTCATCCGTTTGCAAGGTCTCCCAATTGTGGCGGGGACTATGGACATTCGCCACTTCTTCTCTGGATTGACCATCCCTGATGGGGGCGTGCATATTGTAGGGGGTGAACTGGGTGAGGCTTTCATCGTTTTTGCCACTGATGAAGATGCAAGGCTTGGTATGATGCGCACAGGTGGTACAATTAAAGGGTCAAAAGTAACACTGTTGTTGAGTAGTAAAACAGAAATGCAGAATATGATTGAACTGAGCCGTAGGCGTTTTGAAACTGCCAACTTAGATATACCACCAGCAAATGCTAATAGATCAGGACCACCACCTAGCTCAGGAATGAGTGGCAGGGTAAACTTGCCTACAACTGTACCTAACTTTAATAATCCTTCGCCAAGTGTAGTTACTACTACCACTTCTGTTCATGAAAGCAGCAAAAACATACAGACGTTTTCTACAGCCAGCATAGGAACTGCTCCTCCAAGTATGGGAACTTCTTTTGGGAGCCCAACGTTCAGCTCAACCATTCCGAGTACAGCCTCTCCAATGAATACAGTCCCTCCACCACCAATTCCTCCAATTCCAGCAATGCCATCTCTGCCACCGATGCCATCCATTCCCCCAATACCAGTTCCTCCTCCAGTACCTACATTGCCTCCAGTGCCTCCTGTCCCCCCGATTCCCCCAGTTCCTTCTGTGCCGCCCATGACCCCACTGCCACCCATGTCAGGCATGCCACCCTTGAATCCGCCACCTGTGGCACCTCTACCTGCTGGAATGAATGGCTCTGGAGCACCTATAAATCTGAACAATAATCTGAACCCTATGTTTCTGGGTCCATTGAATCCTGTTAATCCTGTCCAGATGAACTCTCAAAGCAGTGTGAAACCACTTCCCATCAATCCTGATGATCTGTATGTCAGTGTGCATGGAATGCCCTTTTCTGCAGTGGAAAATGATGTCAGAGATTTTTTCCATGGGCTCCGTGTTGATGCGGTGCATTTGTTAAAAGATCATGTAGGTCGAAATAATGGGAATGGATTGGTTAAGTTTCTCTCCCCACAAGATACATTTGAAGCTTTGAAACGAAACAGAATGCTGATGATTCAACGTTATGTGGAAGTTAGCCCTGCCACAGAGAGACAGTGGGTAGCTGCTGGAGGTCATATCACTTTTAAGCAGAGTATTGGACCTTCTGGACAAACCCACCCCCCTCCTCAGACACTTCCCAGGTCAAAATCGCCTAGTGGGCAGAAAAGGTCAAGGTCAAGATCACCACATGAGGCTGGCTTTTGTGTTTACTTAAAAGGGCTACCATTTGAAGCAGAAAACAAACATGTTATTGATTTTTTTAAAAAGTTGGATATTGTGGAAGATAGTATTTATATAGCTTATGGACCCAATGGGAAAGCAACTGGTGAAGGCTTCGTAGAGTTCAGGAATGAGGCTGACTATAAGGCTGCTTTGTGTCGCCATAAACAATACATGGGCAATCGCTTTATTCAAGTTCATCCAATTACTAAGAAAGGTATGCTAGAAAAGATAGATACAATTCGGAAAAGACTCCAGAACTTCAGCTATGACCAGAGGGAAATGATGTTAAATCCAGAGGGAGATGTCAACTCTGCCAAAGTCTGTGCCCATATAACAAATATTCCATTCAGCATTACCAAGATGGATGTTCTTCAGTTTCTTGAAGGAATCCCAGTGGATGAAAATGCTGTACATGTTCTTGTTGATAACAATGGGCAAGGTCTAGGACAGGCATTGGTTCAGTTTAAAAATGAAGATGATGCACGTAAGTCTGAACACTTACACCGTAAAAAACTTAATGGGAGAGAAGCTTTTGTTCATGTAGTTACCCTAGAAGATATGAGAGAAATTGAAAAAAATCCCCCTGCACAAGGAAAAAAGGGGTTAAAGATGCCTGTGCCAGGTAATCCTGCAGTACCAGGAATGACCAATGCAGGAATTCCTGGTGCTGGAATGCCCAATGCTGCAATGCCCAGTTCAGGAATGCCCACTGCGGGAATGCCTGGTGCGGGAATGCCTGGTGCGGGAATGCCCGGTGCGGGAATGCCTGGTGCGGGAATACCTGGTACTGGAATGCCTGGTGCGGGAATACCTGGTGCGGGAATACCTGGTGCTGCACTTCCTGGTGCAGGAATACCTGGTGCTGGAATACCTGGTGCGGGGATGCCCACTGCAGGAATACCCACTGCAGGAATGCCAGGTGCAGGAGGTGAAGAGCATGCCTTCCTGACAGTAGGATCAAAGGAGGCTAACAATGGTCCTCCATTTAACTTTCCTGGTAATTTTGGTGGGTCAAATGCTTTTGGGCCACCTCTTCCTCCTCCAGGATTAGGAGCGGCCTTTGGTGATGCTAGGCCTGGTATGCCTTCAGTTAGTAACAGTGGTTTGCCTGCTCTAGGATTGGAAGTTCCAGGTTTTGGAGGTGGACCAAATAACTTAAGTGGGCCATCAGGATTTGCAGGGGGCCCTCAGAATTTTGGAAATGGCCCTGGTACCTTAGGTGGCCCTCCTGGCTTTGGAAGTGGCCCTCCTGGTCTTGGAGGTGCCCCAGGGCATTTGAGTGGGCCACCAGCCTTTGGCCCTGGCCCTGGCCCTGGCCCAATCCATATTGGGGGTCCCCCTGGCTTTGGGTCTAGTTCTGGGAAACCAGGACCTACTGTAATTAAAGTTCAGAACATGCCCTTCACTGTGTCTATTGATGAGATTTTAGATTTCTTTTATGGCTATCAAGTTATCCCAGGCTCAGTGTGTTTAAAGTACAATGAAAAAGGTATGCCCACGGGTGAAGCCATGGTGGCCTTTGAATCCCGGGATGAAGCCACAGCTGCTGTCATTGACTTAAATGACAGGCCAATAGGTTCAAGAAAAGTAAAACTTGTATTAGGATAGCCATTAATTCTTTATAGGGTAGATCTTCATATTGCTGTGATTAATGCATCCAGATTTGTTTTTCCTAGTATTTTCAAGTTAGAACCTGTGGATTGTTTCAATTGCATATTGATTGGTTTTCATAACATAGAGCATTGGTGACTGTTTACAACTTACTATCAGGATAAACATTGCTGTATGTTACAGTAAAGCTATCTGGAAAGAACACAAACATGATTTTGGCATACCATTAGAGAAACCATTTGTAAAACCCAATGACCATATAAAGCTTATCAAGGAGTCTAGATTGTTTTGTTTTATACTGTATGGGATGAAGAAAATAGAAATGTCAGTAGAGCTCATTGAGGTTGCTCTTGCCAGCTGCTGAAAAATAGAGGTTGGCTACTCGGGGAATTTGGTTTAAAGCTGAACATACTCGCTTTGTTCTAGGGTCAAAGCTTTGTCTAAAGTCTTCATTTTCTTTTAAAATTTAATAAAATCTCTGTATACAGATTCATTGTATGTACCTTTATTGCTTCTTGAAGGTTCTTGCTGTATAGACAGTCCTGCTTTCGGACATTGCTGCTTTGTTTGCTAATCGATTCATTTGTAAATGAGCAGAACTGTTTTGTTGTTGTTGTTGTTTTCCTCTAAACCTAAAACTTCACACTTGGTTTGTGCTATGGCCCTGAACTTTGATTTTTAATGTCATACTTAAAACTTTGTAGAATAAGAGTTTTGCCATACAAATAAACTACAGAGTCCTCTACCTACCAGAGCCTTTTTGGTTTGACTGCCAAGTTTTAGTTTAATAAGTTTAAAAATTGTTCATGTTGTTTGGATGGCATCAAAGACCAGATACCACTCTTAGTAATCAGTGTTTAAGATGGCTTGATTTGAAGTCCTGTCAGTGATGGACTGATTGTTCTAGCAATTTCCTTCTGTACCAACATAACGTGAAATTTTGGCCTTTTAAGTAAACAAAGAGATGTTCATGCATAAGAAAGTATTATATCTAGGCTTTTAAAACTGAAGTTGAAATTGTTAGCTTTGTTAGCAGTGGTAGTGTAGAATAAAAGATTCAGAGATGGTCCATAACTTGGTATGTCTTTAATCCTGTTAATTTGGAGGCTTTTTTGTGTAGTTTGGTCTAATCTTGGAGTCTGTTTACAAAAATTCTTTATGCAGAGTAAAAGTGCAGGTGCCAGAGATGAGAGAATTGAGACTCCTTGCCCTTTTATGTCCTTTTCTTTGACATTCAGGACACTAAAATAGGGGGAGACCACACAGGTTCTGGTTAATAAATGTCCTTGTCATAAAAAGTGGCCTTGTGGTGTCCTGCTCACTGCTCCACAAGGCTCTACTTAAGGGTTTTTTTTTTTTTTGTTTTGTTTTTTTAAGTTGAAATGCTCAAAAGATGTGTCACATTATGCTATAAACATGCTGACTGGGAGATTGGTGAGTTATCATGGAAAATAAATTTTATCTTTTACATGGCCTGCTTGTTTGGTTTGAAACATCCCTAACATTTCCTACAAATCAACGTACTTAGAAAGGTATCAGGCTTTTAACAGAAATATATCCTGTTAGAAAAATACGTAGTGCCTTTTTGGTGTTGTAAGTCAGTGGAACGTAGAAACAGCGTCGTTGTGTAATTTAGAGTTGAGAGTGGCAACAGGTTTTTGTTTTTGTTTTTCTTCTGAAAAGATTGTGTTTAATCTCAGAGTGTTGACAGTATAGGGTTTTTATTTAGGGAAAGGATGTTTAGACTGTCAAAGAAAAGGTGGCTTTGTTTTGAGTCTTGGTAATTTATAAATACAAATTTGCTTTAACAGACCAGTAGATACTACTGCCTCAAATTAAAAAGTAATGTGGTATTTGTATATACTTTTCTATTAAGTAATCATTTCTCATTTCAAAGACAGAATACAAACAACTTTAGAGCTGCGTGGGAGTCTTTATTTCAACCACAAATTATTTCACCCATTGGAAAGCTGTTTTCATTTTAGGAAATTGGGTTGTTTGAAGATGAAATTTTTTTTTTTAAAGACAGGGTCTTACTATGTAATTCAGGCTGGCCTTGAACTCACAGCAATCCTCCTGCCTCAGCTTCCCAAGTGCTGGGATTACAGGCATGTGCCACCACACCCGGCTTTGAAGATGAAATTTAAAAAAGTTTTTTTTACGATTTGTTTTGGTTATATGCTCATAATTCATATTAATATTTCATACACTTGATTGCAACTACTTTGTTATTTCTACATCTTAGATGAATGCTGAAAAGGAAACTTTGATTTCATTGTTCATTAAATAAATTAAGAAAATAGTGATTTATGTTGAAATTGGAGAGAACTTTGTTTTATATTTCGTTGAAGCACAGCAGTGCTTGTTGTGAAATGTAATTAAATGCTTTGCCCTCTTGGAATTTGATTTGTGTATATCTGAGATTTATTAACATAGTGCTAACTGCTAAGTATACTGTTTATCTTGTTCTGGCTTTGAAGTTTCAATTTTAAAAAATTCTTGAAAATGTGTGTGAAACTATTCATACCTCTCTCTACTACATATTTTATCAACTAGATCTGGGCTAGAATTGAACTTGCATTTTATTTGCTTTGTACAGTATGAAGGATCTGTAAAGCTTTGCTCAAAATTGTGTGCACTTGTAAACACTCATAGTATTCTCAATTTTATGTGTAAATTTTATTGTCTGCATTTGGTGACTTGACATTAATGAAAGAATTTTCATTAGGTTTAATTTTTTTCTCTCCTGAGTTTTTACTGTTTTTTGTTTTTTGTTTTTGTTTGGTTTAAAGGATTAGAAAAATCTGCAAATGTACTTTATAAATAAGCAAATTTGTAAACTTCTGAACTTTAGTGAAAGATTTAGTTCACAAGCATAATTTGGAGGAATGTTCTGTTTACACTAGTTTGTATGTACAATTACTAGTGTTTTTTTTAAAATGCAGCACAGTGTTAAGTGAAATGTAGTTTTTAACTTTGTTTTCCAAGTTGTCAAAGCATCAACAATGAAAAATTCCATTAGGAAACTTTTTATTGAAAATTTCAGGTAAAAATATTCCATGTAGTTAAGGTCAGTCTTAACCCACTAGATGAAAATCTAGGATTGTATATGCAGGAAACTTGAACATATAAAGGAACATGTACATTTTTAGGTGGAAATAGTCACCTTGGATAAAAATAAGGAAGCTTAAAAAGTTTTACTCAAACTTCAGCTTTATTTTACAGGATTCTGTAATTGTGTACAGGTGTGGGTGAAGTGTGGAAAAAAAATCTTTACAATTTTAAGAACACGAAAAATGAATAAAGAAAACGTTAAATTGCTGCTAATGAAATCCTTCAGAAAGAATTTTTGGCAGTGGTCATTTTAAAAATTATTGCCCACCCTCACAAAATTGCCACATTTAAATTGTTTTACTGGCAGTTCTGTAGTAGTCCATACTTTACAAACCAGACATAGTAAAATGGCTCATTGACAGAATAGCCACAACATTGCCAGCAGATACTGCTTTGGCATCATTCAGCAGTTTTTGTTTTTGAAAATAAAGTCTTGAATACTGTCAATAAACTTGTCATAAAATAAAAACAGGCTTATGCTTTTAATGCTTTAATTGCACAAAAGTACTGAGCTGTATATATTATCAGAATTTTTTTTCCTTCATTTTAACTCCTGAAAATATTTTGTGCCTTTGGAAAAGTGGATTTGGTGATCTTGGAGGTGATAATTGTTGCTTATCCTTGTCTGCTATCTGCTAATGCTGAAATGGAAAGAAGAGGATATCTGGAACGGCAGGGAGGAACTTGATTCTAGGTCAAATCTGTGACATCCACCTTTTCAGAGTTTGTGTGTGTTGCTAGTGAAATACTTACCTGGACTTGAACAGGAGTCCGTATGCTCCTTTTCACGGGACTATTACAGGGGAAAGGAGTCTGAATTAGCATTTTAAGAAATTGATTACAGTAAGATATGAGAAAATCTGTGGATTCTTAATTGCACACCTTTGAAGCTTTGTGAGTATGTGTGTGTATGTTGCTTTTGTTTTTGCTTTTGCCTTACTGTGTAGAGTATTTGAGGTGGAGAAGATAGGAATCAAAAATACTGCTGCTTCTGACATTGATGCTCCTGTGTTTGTCTCTTTCACATTTGTTTAGCTTCTGAAAAAATTAGCAAATGAAGTTTTTATAAGCACAGTTCTTTAAAAAACAACAACTCTCCATCTGGATTAGAGTTATAGGAACTGGTGGGCTGCTGCTTGTAATCAGAGCTCTTAAAAAATGTCACTTTTCCTTTATTATTAGAGTTTAGCCTGTATCTGAACTGTAATATCTAGCTTATTTTAGATGTGTTTAGACTAGACATACATAATTTGAGGTTGTAGCGGAGTGGTTTACTTTAAAACTGTTCTGCTTTTTTTTTTGTTTTGTTTTGTTTTGTTTTGTTTTTTTCTCCGGTACCGGGAACCGAACTCACGACCTTGCACTTGCCAGGCAGGCGCTTTGCCGCTGAGCTAAATCCCCAACCCCTTGTTTTACTTTTTTGAGACAAGGTCTTGCTGTGTTGCCCAAACCTGTCCTTGAACTTGTGGGCTGGAGTGATCTTCCTGCCTTTAAAATTATCAAGATTGACTAAGCACTTGATTGAAATCAGCTCCCCACAGATAACGCAGAATAAAGCATCTGAAAGGAGTGGACTCTGATAATGTTTCTTTTTCTTGCTCAGAAGAAATTGCTTCTGTAATTCAGTGTTTGCTGCTTTTCAGTGTTTTGTAGCAAGAAATAGTTATCAATTATGCACATCCATTACTGTTCTCCCAAAAGTAGAGATTATTTTTGTCTGTCTGTTTTGAGTCTGAGTATTGCTATTTGCCCAGACTGACCTTAAGCTCACCAGTCCTCGTGCCTCAGCCAGCTGGGATTACAGGTGTGCACCACTGGCTTAAAAGTTAGAGCTTTTATAAGCTAAGATAGAATCTAAATTTACAACTTTA